GCGGATCTCGCGTGTATGTGAGAGGGGATAAATAATTCGGTACATCTTTAAATGTACAAATAGAATTATTCTTCTTGATATAGGTTATTCTCGTGTGCTTATGTAAGAAGTCTTCCAATACATTATGCGCTTATGATTCCTACGAATTATTTTTTAACATAACATTTAAATGACACAATGCCACTGTTTGATATAGCTAAAAATTTGATTAAAATTTAAGTTAAAGTTAACTAAAATTTTCACTATAAATTTCGTGGGATACAATTTTCCAACTGTATATTCCATAAAGTTTTTTTTATCAAAATTTATTAAAAATTTGATTTTTTTTCTACAGTACCAAATAAGGGCAAAAATGAAAATTCAAATGAGTTTTAAGCATAGAAGGAAGAATACGTATAAAATGTTTTTTTTTCCCTCTCTCAGAAATAAGGGTAAGTTTGATTGCAAGAATAAATTTTGGGTGGAAAGAAAACAAATTCTAGAGAATTGAATTGTCTAGAACTTGTTTTATTGGAAATTGTTAATTAAGGGTCCGTTTGATTACAAAGGTAGAATTTGGGTGGAAAGAAAATGAATTCTAGGGAATTGAATTGATGATAAATTATTTTCCTGAAAATTGTAAATTATTGTATTTGATTGGTATAACTTTCAACGTGGAAAATGTTTAAATTAAAGTGTTTTTTGATGTTCGTTTAGTTTTATTTTACATGAAAATTGTCAATTAAAAATAAATATTTTTTTACAATAATTCTTAGAATTTGTTGCTATTGCCAAAAAAAAAAAAAAAAAAAAAGGAAAAAGCCAGCAGCCAAGAAAACCAATTTCCAGCTCACCAAGGGAATTGGTTTTCTTCATTTTTATGGAAAAATGTGGTCACGTGCATGAGAGATGGAAAACAAGTTACCTAGAGAAAATTCCCTATCAAACAAGGCAAATTGGATGGAAAATGGAGTAATCAAACATGGCCTAAATGTATTTGATTGGTATAATTTTTCAACTAGAAAATATTTGGATCTTTTGATATTCGTTTGACTTTATTTTTCATGAAAATTATCAACTAAAGAGATACAATTTTTTACAATTGTGAATAGAATTTCATCCCATTGCTGAAAATAAATAAATAAATAATAAACTTAGAAAACCCAATTCCCAGCAAAAATAGTGGGAATTGGTTTTTCCACAAATTTTAGGAAAATAGGTCACGTGTTGGTGGGAGGGATATTGATTTCCGTGGAATATTTATACAATCAAACAACTCAAAAGGTAGAAAATGAAAAAAAAAAAAATTCCATATCAAACGGTCCGTTTGATTGGAAAGATGGAATTGAATTAAATTGAAAACGAATTCCAAAGAATTGAATTGCCTAGAAATCGTTTTCCTAGGAATTTTAAATTATTGGGTTTGATTGGTATAATTTTTCACATGGAAAATGTTAAAATAAAAATATTTTTTTGGTGTTCGTTTGACTTTATTTTACATGAAAATTGTCAATTAAAGGGATATATTTTACTAGTATTGGGAATGAAATTTGTTTCCATTGTCAATAAAAATAAAAAATTCAAGAAAATTAGGTGTTCGTTTGATTTTATTTTACATGAAAATTGTCAATAAAAGGGAAATATTTTTTTACAATCATTCTTAAAATTGGTTTCCATTGTCAAAAAAAATAGAAAAATAAAATAAAATACTACAGTAGACTAGAATTTTAATTCTCACCAAATTGGTGAGAATTCAAATTCCTTGAAAATAAAGAAAAGTGTAATTTTCAAGAAATCTAAGAAATTCAATTTCATGATAAATATAAGTTATTAAACACCATTTTTGTGAAAGTTGGAATCCAAATTTCATTTTCTAGGAAAAATTTTGTTAAATCAAACGGTGACTAAGAGACATTAAAGTCTGCAAAACCACGTATTCTTTTGATATTTCTCGATTAGAGGAAAACTGAAAAGATTCTGTAATATTGTGCAACTGAAATGTTTACAGGTTAGTACTGTTCTTTATTCTGATTAATTAATTAATTAATCAATTAATTGTTTAATTAATTAGCTAATCATGTGGGCAGTTTAATGCACAGCCCAAATGATTAATTATTAATTAGCTGCCCATTAAAGGTCAGAAATCAGAATCCTATGTAGAGCATATTTTCAATAATAAATTATTTTCACATAAAGCTAGAGCTTAAAAAATTTGTTAAATAATTATATAAAAATGTAATTTGATTGCTAAATATTGTGATTGATTTATAATACTGAAAAATATTAATATGTCAATAAAAATAAATCCTTTATTTTTCTTAGGAATGCGTGCATTTTTTCTATGGACAATGGCTCGTCCTTTTTGACTAATTTCTAGAAAAAATGATAGTACGTATGGACATCTAATTTCGTCAATTGAATTTTAACGACAATATCCGATATATATACACACTTTGTGAAAGTTAAATATTACCCAAAAAGATGAGAAATTCTTATATAAACATTCTAATACTTAAAATAGTAACCATCTACATATTTCTTGAATGAATTGAGGTTCTCATATTATGAATAAGAAATATTATACCTCGTGTTTGGGCTCCATTTTAATGACGTTTTGAAAATATAAAATAGTTATTTTTTGAAAAATGTGTAATTAAAAAGTAACGAAAAAATTTGTGTTCATGTGTAATATTATTTTATTGAAAAATGTATGGTTAAAAATGGAGAAAGAAAAAAATGTATTAAATTAAAATGGAGCCCAAACAAGTGCTGGCAAGTTCTATATACAATAGAAACATGGCGCGTGGTGATGTGGGTGAAAATAAGGAAAGAAAGTGATGTAGTCTATATCTCTCTTTTAGCACAGTGGGCCTCCAGTGGGAAGTCTGCACGATAAGCTATTAGTTCAATGGTAGAGAACATTCCAAATAATTGCATCGATGTGCTTGGCTCATGAGAGCCCTCGATCATATACAATTCAATTTGCTCATCAACGTTTGATATTGAAATGGGAATCATTTAAAGCACATTAACATGGCGCATTCCTCGTGTTCATATCAAAGTTCAAAACAAAATAATTCCTCAAAAGGATAAATGGGACGATTTGGGTGAATCCATTCAATCATGTTTCAATTATAAAAAATGAAAGTAAAAAAGTCGTACATTCTGCGACATAAATATATTGTTGTTCGAATTTAGATTTATTGAAATAATTTTGAAAAGTAAAAGGGCAAGAGAAAAACTGTTGCAGGAAAACGTGCTGGCCTCGACTAACGCAATGTGGTCCAATTTCACTTTATCATTTTCCCATTTATGGATCCATCTCTCTTCATTAAACTTCGCCTTCTGACTTCTTTTATTGCCTTGCCAATTTATGTTCATCTTTTTTATGGGAAAATTTGCCATTCGTAACTGAGTAAATGCAGTTGTTTATTCATGGATAATATTGTGTGACGAGTCAAGTCGAGTCAAGTCAAATCAAGTAGTAGAAGTCTTTGGAACTTCGAGATACTTAATTTAATATTTATCCATCTCGAGGTTATACTCATGATTGATCGTGTGTTTAACTCTACATAAATTATTAATGAAATTGATAGAATGCATTAGTTTGTTGCATTTGCCACATCAATAGATTTAACGAATTACAATGTGAGAACTTTCAAGTTGTTGCATTTGTCAAGCTAGCTTGACATGCCTTTCGTGCATCTCAAATTACAGATGAGCACTCGTGCTTGTCACTTGTATAGTTTTCTTAGGCTCGTGGTACAATGCCCTTTATTCGCCCCACATTCAATTAGGATCATAAATCAATATAATATTATAAAGAGTAAAGAAAGAACCATCTTTCAAGATGATGAATAAAGAGAAGCAAAAAGAACTTGTATAATTTCAAAGCGAACAAATAACTTTCAATCTAGAGAGCTAACGATCCTACCATAAAAATTGACATGTTTAATATATTGAATTGTATCGTACCGAACAAAATAAAGTAGAAAATAAGTAAGCATATAAGAGCTCAGTTGACGATTAAAAGGAAAACAATAGATCATTACACTTGCACTAAAGTAGAGCAAATAAACTCCCAATGGTTTACAAATACTCTCAAATGACTATTTTCTTGCTATAGAAGTATAATTTTGTCCTAAGTGTATTTTCTAATCATAATTTCATCAACAGTCTTATCCCAAAAATATGTTACCTTTCATAATTTCATTTTCATTTATAATGCAATTCATGCAGTTGACAGGGTAATGTATCGATGAAAAAGAGTTTTTGTAACTTGTTCTACGTGATTCATAACAATGAAGCACATTGGGTCAAAAATTAGGAACTAAAAGCTTGTTTGGGAGTGATTTTTTCTCCAAAAAAATGATTTTTTACCATTATTTCACTATTTTAATCGTCATATTTGATTTTTTCTCTCACAGATAGAACCCATTTTTCTCCTAACGGTCAAAAAATAAATTTTAAAAATCACTCCCAAACAGACTTTAAGTTCATTTTACCATCTATTCTCAATATTTTAACCATTTTTTCTAACTCGAATCTTGAGGCCGGATTGTACATCTCCTCCAAAGAATACATCTGAGACTATTTTTACGTCTAGATATTTATAGACAGTCTCTTTCAAAGAGAAAGAGAGATCATAACTTGTTATTTCTCATTGTTCTCCGTTGATTTTGCAGCATACTCAAAATTCCTAGTGAGAAAATATTAATCTATGTCATTTTCCAAGGCATATATATATAAATTTTGAAAAAAGCAAGAGTAATGTTATTCACTATGACCGTTGATAATTGTCGGTTTATATGACAGTGTGATCATTGCAAGATTGTCCGATTTGAAAAACTCAAGAAAGAACGTTCCTATTATAGATTAAAAATCGAGTTAAATACTTTACCCACTAAACTTTAAAATATTTTCGAGTGATAATTGAATTTCTAGTTACAGAACTTTTAAAATATTTTCGGGTGATCACTGTAAAATAAGAGAGTGCTCTTATTATACCTTAAAAGTGGGAAAAAATAAAAACAGTAAAAACTAAAAAGACAACAGTGGAATTGATGATATAAATCCCCCGCTTCATCATGTGCCATTCCATAGAGCAAAGCAGATATATTTCAGCAAACACTACCTATTCAATCTCCACAAAAAATTATGGAAGAAGACTTCCAAAATCCCCCTTCCACCTCGCCGGAACCTATAACCACCACATCCTCTGCCACCCCTCTAGAATTTTCCGATGACATTGACAGTTGTTGTTCCACGCCTTATGTTAGTGCACCATCGAGCCCCGGCCGTGACACGCCCCTTGGAGGGTTCTACTATAGCGCCCCAGCGAGCCCTATGCATTTCTTGCTTTCCAGTACTAGCATTTCTTCGTATGGGGTTGAATCGTCGACTGTGGCTTGTTCGTTTGAGTTTGATTTCTCGGCTCCACTGGCTGACGACGGCGTACCGCCGGGTTCCATGAGCTCCGCCGATGAATTGTTCCTCAACGGCCAGATCAGACCCATGAAGCTCTCTAGCCATCTCCGGAGGCCCCAGGTTTTGGCCCCTTTGAGTGACATGGATGAATCTGATGAGGTTGAACAGTCCAAGCTCAATGATACTGAGGAGAAATTTTTTCGCGGAAGGGAATCGAAATTGCGGGCTGGATCATTGAGGAGGAGGACTAGATCTATGTCCCCATTGAGAACGACGTTGTTTCTTGATCATGAAAATGACCACACACAGGATGACGATGAGATAAAGAGGGAAAATGAAGAGTGTAAGAAAGTAGAAGAGGCAGCAGGGTCGAATGATACGACGCCGTGTGGATCTGGATCTTCCTCGAGGTCTTCTTCAATTGGGAGGAGCTCAAGGAGATGGGTTTTCTTGAAGGAGTTCCTATACAGGAGCAAAAGTGAAGGTAGAAACAACGGGCATAAATTTTGGGGCTCCTTATCATTTTCACCTGTCAAAGATAAGAAATTTGAGAAGCCCATTTCCAATCCCAAAATCCCATCAACTGAGAAAGCAAATTCAGCACCAGAAGAAGTAAATTCCAACACCGGAGCCACAAAAAAAGTTCCGAAAGTGGTGAAAAAAAGGGCAGTAAATGGGATTGGTAAAAGAAGGGTGCCACCATCACCTCATGAATTGCATTATACTGCAAATAGGGCACAAGCAGAGGAGATGAGGAAGAAGACATTTCTTCCATATAGACAAGGTTTGTTGGGCTGTTTGGGATTCAGTTCAAAGGGCTATGGAACCTTGAGTGGTTTTGCTAGAGCTTTGAACTCAGTGTCATCAAGGTAAATAAAATGAAAAATTTCAAGAAAATGTGTATTAATTTCTTGAACATGGGTTGGTTCCAAGTAGTGGATTTGTATAAAATATATTTTGTTTTCTAAATTTTTTTCATGTTTTCCAGTGCTTCTGTTTTATCCATTTATGGGTTTGCATTAATTGATTAGGGATTATTATTAACTTTGCATGGAGAAACAGATGTTGCCAATCATGGAAACTAAAGCAAAGTTTGTTTCATCTCCCTTTAGCTTTTGCTTGTGTTGTAAAGTTCATTAGATCCTCTCTCTCTCTCTCTCTCTCTCTCTCTCTCTCATGTATTATTATCTGCAGGCCCTCGTGTTTGTGTCATATTCTCAAACAGATGGTGTGCACAATTCATTAAGCTGTGGTTTGTTGGTCAGACATGTTAGTTGTGGGCTATGTCATGTAAAGTTGCGTAGGGTTCCATTACTTGGAAATTGCACGGTGGTCCCATAGTTAGTAGCAAGCCGATTCTCAACCTATAAACATGAATAATGAACTATTAAGGATAACACTAGTTGCACATAATTTTTTGTACATTAAAGTATCCATACGCTCACATAGGATGGGATCCACTCAAATAAAATATTCGAACGATCCCACCCCATGTGAGTGTAGGACACCTTGATAAATAAAAAATTATGTACACCAAGCAAGGCCCAACTATTAAACGGTCATGTTTGCTTCACAGGTTCAACTTTAGGAAGTTATGTTTTATTAATCAAATATGAGATTACTAAACGATTTTAGTAAGATTTGGACAGTTTCTATTAGGATTGATAGTCTAATTCTAATGAAAGACTGACTATTAACTTCTTCATTTTTTTTAAAGATTAAAGTTTAATTTGCTTCTTGAACAATCGATTGAGGACTACCGGTGCAATATTTAGAAAAAGAAAAATGTAAACGATGTACACAACACATTAGTAACCATAGGGAATAATATGATAATAATATTATGCTTCCAAATGATTCCATAAACGTTCACTCTAAAATGTAATTGGGGTAACTCTCAGATCTTTTCATATCTAGGGATGTTAAATGTGTCGGATTGAATGCTTGATTTGATCGACCACGAGAGTTGGTTCACTTCATTGAATTGTGGTTGGACTTGCTATGCACTCATCCTTCGCGGATTGTCAATTTTTATTTTTATTTTTAAATTTGAACAAAAAACATCAGTAATTTGCAAGCTGGCTTGCAAGAGTATTTTGTTGCTTGATTTGTGTTCACAACTCGCGAGTGACTCGTCCCATTTCTCACCCCATTTAACCCATGTATCTTCAAGATAAACAATGATGCATAAGGCTGGAAAGATGGCATTCAAAATATAGGTTTCGAGGCGTTTATTGAAAGTCTTCGACAATATAGTCTCAAACAAAGTTTTAAAACAATAATTGCAACATATAAGGTAGGTTATTATTTTGAAATTAATATCTCATGCTAGATTCTTGAACCAATGATTGATCTACACACCACATGCTAGGGAATAGTCCATTTGCTAGGTGTGTATTAGGCCTCAATACTCATAAAAATTCCAAAAAAGGACCTCTATGTGACCAACAATGTCTCTTTTTAGTTTTATATCAATTGTGACATTTTTGTAGGAATCTGCATTGACCTTTCTTCACACTTGTAAATTTATGGTATGTAGGGTTTTGGGATAATATTAGGATGGACCCAAATTGTATTTGGTTATAATCTTCTATTTTGCTAAAAGACAGCAAAAGAAAAAGTTTTGGGAACTAAATTAACACCTATTCTTTGCCTTGTAGTACTTTCAGTAATTAGTGTAAACTAATCTCAATCAGAGATGGTATTATTCATAGTTATCAGACTCAACTTGTTCATTGACTTGGAAAAATCATTGGGTCACCAGATCATGTTTCAACCAATGTGTTAGTAGTTCAACTGATGGATCATTGTTAGATCGTAATTTTAATTAAAAAATTATTATTATTTTTTTTAAAAAAAAAGACAAGAATCTTTCTAAATATAAAATATTTATGTATTAGTTCCCTATTATGACACAACTTCAGTTGTTGCCATAATGGTTATGGGTGTAATATTTCACTTCAAATGCCCATGTTTGAACATCTACCTTTGGAAAAAAATTTCTCTTGACTTTGTAACACCGATTTCGATTTCTTGTAAATCCGTCTGGTTCGATCGTGTATTGAGCGGTTCAATCTATTTTGAATTAGTTCACTTGCTTAATGTACCAATTAGAGTAATCAGACTGGACCACTATCTGGTTTGTTGGTTACTGGGTCGGACTGACTAGTTCAACTCAACTTTAATAATTATGGTACTACTCCTATATTAACTGAGGACCTTACTTTTGTAAGCTGCATTGCTAGCGACATATACACAATAGAAGTCTTACACGTGGTGAGGCAAGAAATTTTAGTTTTGGACTAGACCAATTTGTAATCTTTAATTTTAATATTTTTCATAAAAATATATCAAACTCCAACTAGCTCAGCTCGACTCACCAAAAAATACAAGTCGTGAATATCCAAATCAAGCGACTTAAAATGCAGGTTAAGGAATTTTATACTTCTAAAACAAATTTGGATCTATTTGACAGGACATTTACTTTTACATCTTGTAGAAGAAGCTTTTCAAAAAAATTACCTTGAATCAATATATATTTTTAAAAGTTCTTATAATCAAACAAAGACTTTTAAAAAATTATCGAATCATATTCAAAAAATCATCAATCTTAATGACTTTTCAAAATCATGTCAAACAATCCAAGTGACATAATTTCAGCTGCCTTTTTCATGGGTCGCACTGTCTCTTTGACACTGACATAAAGGAGTTTGAGATTTAAGAAACAATGTGTTGATAGTTGTTACTTGTCACTTCTTAGAAATAGCGATTGCTACATTCTTTTCTTTCTAAAAATATTATCTTTTTCTATAGGAATTAAAATAATTTTTTAGTTCCATTGTTATAAATTCCTCTTTATTTTATTTATGGACCCCCTAAAGTTTCAGAACATTCATATTTGACCTCTACAAAAATTTACCCATTTTTAAGCAGAATCATTTCATTTAATATAAAACTTAATTAATAAAAAAATGTATTAATTTATTTCAATTTAATCTTCAACAAATAACAGGTACAAATAGGCCTGGGCAAAAAAATCGTCAAACCACCTAAACCGCCAAACCGAACCGATTCGGTTTGGTTTGGTTCGGTTTAGAGTAGTCAAATGGTTTGGTTTGGTTTTTTGTAGACAAAAATCATGTTGGTTTGGTTTGGTTCATGGTTTGAATACCAAAACCGATGGTTAACCGCTCAACCGCTACAAATTTAAACCACTTTTTTTCTTTTTTAAAAAAGAAGAAGAAGAAGAAGGGTAACTCACAGACAGAATATGACTGTAGGAATCAAAATAAACATGATAACCAATCCAATCCAAATCCAATAAAATTCCACATTAATTATCAATTTCAATAGTAGTAAAACTAAGGTTTTATTAGCAACTGTAGACTATATTTACGATTCAATCATTCATATCTCCAGAATCATGCAGCATGATGATTAAGAATCATGCAACAATATGGATATAGGACTTATACTTATTTCATGGAAACTAACTCATAATCAGACTCTCAAGCAATACATTTTCTCTTGCTTTCGTTTTCCTTTTCAGGAAGAAAAGTCAAAAGATAAGGCACTGGAAGTTGATGCTTGATGACGACGAACTTTCGCTATTCTTCTACTTTCCAGAACCTCGTCACTAGCTTTTTTGAAACTTTTTGTTTCTGATTCAAAATGTTTCATCATTATCAAGATCAGGATTATCTCAAGATAGTTGCACTCCGACAGCCCTCTTTTTTGAAGGTTGAAAATTGTTTTCCTCATCCCCCTTTGTAGATTAACAAAACAAACTTGAAGGAAAATTTGCTTCCTCCACAAGTTGGAAGAAAGTGATATCTTCAGTTAAAAACATATGACAAAAATCACAAACTAAAAGGACATTATAAATGGAATCAAATGTTGCTTCTTGACCAAACAAATGCTAGGAAAGATATTCTAGGATATGAAGCAAATACTTTTGAAGGAAACAAACTATAATGTGAAACTACATGATCCAGATAATCAATTAGCACTCGCCCACAGACATAAACAAGTGAAACTAATCATTAAGTTTGGCAATTGTTAATTCATTACAGAAAGTATCCAAAGATCATGCGCCAAGCAAAAGAAACACTCACATTTGTAAATCAAACTCAAAAATGGGGGAACAAGGAAAAAAAGAAAAAAAAAGGGAGGAGAAAAAAAGAAAAAGAAAAGAGAGAGAACAATGTGTAAGAATAACATCAATGTTTGCTCGTTCTTTAAAAGTTACAATGCAATGTTATTTAAAAGTTAAAACCGAGAAACCAAACTAAACCAAACCGAACCGAAGTGGTTTGGGTTGGTTCGGTTTAAGAATTATAGTGGGTTGGTTTTGGTTTTAATTTCACTCAAACCGACTACTTTGGTTTGGTTTTGGGTTTAGGTCAAAACCAACCCAAACCAAACCACGCCCAGGCCTAGGTACAAACTGGACATTTGGTTTCAGATAGTTATCGAGCTTATATCTGCCAATATTAAAAATAAAAAATAAAAAATTCCTTACATTTTAATTCTTAGTATGTGTTCCAAATTAATTGTCCTAAATATTATTGCCATTCAGAATAAAATATACCAAACCTATTTTTCTAATTTTTTCTGTAAATAATTTCTCCTACTTCCAATTTTTTTCCCCTCAAAAATCCAACACCATTCAAAACATAGTAAAGATCATTAGTACTATCATCATATGACACTAAATTTCCATGGTTGCACCTGCAATTCTTAACATATACAAGGAGATCTTTCACCCCCCAAGTTTAAGGACGAAAATATCGGTATCCTCTCCTCCCCGACCCTATTCGCACAAAACATTGCCCATTTAAGAGTCGAATATCCAATAAGAAGGTCGACATTGACAAAAATAAGCCATCAATATCTTATAACCAACAAGGTTGTATAATCTTTCATAGATGAAACATAATGAAGAATACATAACTGTCCTCAATAACCAAGAATCTTGCATTACTATCACCACCAAAAAGATGATATAATCATAACAAAGTCACTATTCCTTATAACATTAATGCTACTGCTGGAAACAAAATTAGTTTTATCTTGTGGTAAATGGAAACAAAATATCATTCCCATTCTTCTGATTGCGAAGGTGATGCAAAATGTGCAACTGAAGGAAACTGGGAGCGTAAGAAGATGGATCCACTACATCCAGGGAAAATCAACGCCCAGAAGTTATATGTGGATACCATATTTGTCAGTAAAAGGCGATCTCACTGATCAGAAGCAAAGGTAGACAGAATATTCTTCTTCAAAGTGAAATCGTCAGCCTTCGCCGGGGCAATTGACTGCAAGAAGTAAGAGAAAGATCAGATCTCTCAATAAATTTTCCACATTTGTAAAAGTATACACTAACATGAAATCCAAGGATTAATCTTGTTAAATTTCATTAATTACCAACATTCCACAATTTTAATTTTTTTTTCTCATTTATTTGAATTTTTCTGACTTCTCCTAATTTTTTTGACCAACAAATAAACTTAATTTCCAACTAAAAACAATATTTTTCCAAACCTTATTTTCAAACCCTCATTTAACCATATATTTACAACCCCCACCAATATGTTTCCAAAATGTCAACTCAAAAGTCCAAACAGAGAAAAAATGATTTCTTATTTAGAAGCTGATATAACTAAACTAAGAGGCATGTCTAACAAAGTTGCATGTCTAACAAAGTTCAACATTTTTAAAGCTCATAAATGTACTTCTTATCCACACATTTTGTATAACTCACAACTTATTATTCACACATTCCGTAGAACCCAGAACTAATAATCACTACAAAACAAGCACTAAGCAAATCAGCTTTCAGTTTGTTTGGAAGAAATAAAAAGTTACTGAAATTATAAATTGATTTAATTAATTGTGGATAAGTGAGTATTAGTTGTGGATTCTACAAAACGTGTAGTTAAAATTAAAATTTACGTGACCTATATTATAATAAGATTATAATTTAAACAAGGCAAGCACAAAAATTGAAATCATAATTCAGAAATTAGATGAATATAAGATTCCACCTTCTAGAGATGCATAATATATTTGAATGTCATGGGGGTATGCACTAGCTAAAAAATGGAAAATAAGTAATCAAAGAATTAGAGGCTATAGGGTCATTGTTTTGATTCAGTCATACATCAGAAGATAATCAACTAAAAACTGAATATTAACTTATCTATAGTTAGGCAGACAGCGGAGCAAATTATTTAGATGATTTCCATTTTCGGATCAGAGAGAACAAAGAGACTGTTATACAACAAGTGTTGCTTAAAAAACACTAGACAAAAGGGAACGCAATAGTTTACCTTGGCAAGCATGCGTTCCAGCCGCTGAATCTCATTCTTAGCATACTCAGCACCTCTTTCCATGCAGCTCTTGGCAGCTTTCACATAGATCTTCCCATATCTAAAGAAATTTAAAGTGATGTGAAAGTATGGGTATTGAATTAAAGTTGATGGGCATGCAAGATTGCAACTTAGACCAACTACCCTAATTACAATTAGTTCGAGTTAGTAATATGAATAGTGGAAGTACAACAAGAATTTCGTTACAACCTTGCATTGGATCCCTTTAGTTTCTCGGCTTCTGCCTCCAATCGACTGAATACAGCTTTTTTATCCTCCGTTGATGCACTTACAAACTCTTTCACTAGGCTATCAAGGGCTTCAACTATACCGGCCTAGGATGATTAGATGGTAAGTTAGAAGCCAGTAAAAAGTAACCATGGAGAGAATAATTTAATTTAGCAACAAACCTTATCAGTGAATTGTCCTTTTGTGTCACGGCTAGTTCCACACTTCTCATTGATGAAACTGACAAATTCATCCAAGTCTCGTCCGCCTTCGTAATCTTCACCAGCCTTATTGATCTTTGGGAAGAATTTCAATGTAGGAAAACCACTTACACCATACCTGCTCAGCAGTAGATATGTATATCAGGAAACACATGCCATATGTTTCTTTTTCTTTCCTTTCACGTTTAATTAGGTTTAGGGGAATCAATTCTGGAATTTATCTATAGCACTTTATTAACTCACAGCAGGCTCTGAAAGTGGGTGTGCATTGAGGATACAACAGAAGAAAAACTATTTTTACTGCTTACTTCTCTGCAATGTCCTTGTACTTATCAGCGTCCAGATTAGCAATGACTACATCATCTTCCAGCTTGAATGCTGTTGCTAGCTTTTCATAAGTCTGCAAAATAGGAGCAAGAGAGAGACGTTGTACAATAATTTATTCACCGTTCATTGGAGTCTTATTGATGTACCAGTGATGTACTTACAGGAGCAAGGCTTTTGCAATGACCACACCTGGGAAAAAAATACCATCAATCAGAATTGACAAAATCATATTTAACACATTTTACATAAATGATCAGAAAGAGAAATCTTAGAAATCAATTACTTTGGCATCTCAAATTCAAGTACAAGAACAGCATAGAAAGAAAATAATCAAAATATTATATGTAGACCTACCAGGGTGCATAGAATTCAACAAGGACGTCCTTTGTATCATCAAGAACAATCTCATCAAAGTTGTCTGGAGAGAGAACCACAACACTTGAAGGAATTGCAGCTATCTTGACATTTATCCCTGAAAACAGAATTGCATTTGTAAGAACTAGGCAAGAAACATCCACTTAGTTGTGATTTTGAAACATATTTGGGAAAGAATGACAACTAATGACCACTAATGTAACAATATGATGATGATAGAGATAGGTATGGATATTGTGTTTTTCCCCTTCACACAACAATCAAATTTTTTCATTTTTCCTTTTTAAAAGATCTGTGAATATACAATGGTGTATAGGAAGAATTTCCTAGATGTAAAGCCTTTTTCCACGGGGAAAAATCAACATCGTGTATTACTTCAAATGTAATTAAATCAATGTGCTTACTGCCTGCACAGTCAATCTTGGATCAGAAATATATGAGCAAACTAAAAGTCGTACCTGCTTCATTGTTTACAAATTCAGTAAGGGCTTCAGCAGTTCTTGCACTTTCATACCTAAGAAACGAAAACTCAATTAATGTGGAATGCACTTTTCCAAGGACTTGAATGGACAAAAAATATGCAAAGAATATATATGTTTATAATCTCATATAATGCTAAGAAAATTATGAGCTTAGAAGAAATGAAGGAAGAAAAAAGTTTTCTAGAAGAGCTTAAACTCACTTTTTGGGCTCCAAAGACCCCTTAGGAAACCACTGGATGGTGGGATATCCAGAAACTCCATATTTACTGCAGAGACTCTTGTGCTCATCACAATCAACCTACAACAGAATGATTTAATAAAATTACAACGTTTAACATTTTAAAGTCATAAATATTTATCAATCAACCTACAATGGTTAATGATAAATCAATGCCTTGAGACACCCTCATTGGCAACCCAAGAAATAATCTCATAATTCAACAAGATAACAAATCTAATCTCCTTTCCCAATTTTCTGAGTAAAATATAAGCCCCCGTTTGGCTTCCATTATTTGAAATTATAATGGGTGGAATAGTAATTTTTTTGGAGAATGAATGGTCGAAAAAGAAGGAAAAAAGTTTTCGATTTATTTATAATATTATTTTATGGAAGATTGTATGATTGAAAATATGAGAGAGAAAAATGAAATTTAAGCAAACTTGGGATGTAAACACAAACAAATAAGCAAACTTGGGATGTAAACACAAACAAATAATCACATAACATACTCATAGATGACTACTTATTATTCAGTTGAGCGAATCTCAATCAAGCCACAATCAATCATGATAAACAAATATTTAATGATTTAACAACAGTTAAAAAATCAAGAAACAACTAAAAAAAGGATGGAAAATCAGATAGCGTAGTCCATAAAACAAGTAACTGATACATTGATCCTGTAACTAGGACTTTCTCCAACTTGTTAAAGACCAGATTAATAATTTGTCTTTTTACATGACAGAGCTACACTTTAGATAAGTTCTAAAATACCTATAGTAATGAAGTTAAAAATTAGGTTTTATGGAATTATTATTAGACTAGATATACTTTATCTCGAGTTTGGGAAATCAGAAGACAAAAAACATGGTAGAAAAATAATGTTTTTGATATAATGTAATTAATGAGATAAGAACTGAGGTTAAACATTGGTAAGTGGAGATCGCTCCATTTAGGATAAATTAAAGGAATGATGCTTTAGATATTTAAGGAATGCAATACATAGACAAAGTTTCATTCGCACGAGCAATGCGTTCTTATTAGTCGAGAATGATGTGAAGTTCCATTCCCTAGAAAATTTCAGTGGATACAAAAACAGAATCTTTCTGGGAACATTTCCACAACTAATATACACATGCCCAACTCGAAAAAGGCTAACCTTGCCAATCAAAACAGACTTAGCCTTCTTGAAACTCGCACCAAGCTTTTCATACTCAGGAGCAAGCTTTTTACAGTGCCCACACCTGCATAGGAACACTATATCATATATACCTTCAATTCATCTACTCCTACACGGAAATAAAAAGAATTCTGAGAATTTAAACAAACTAAAGCAACTAATATTTATTACTTTCACTCATTTCCCTCACTACGCAAGATTTACATAATTGAAAGGGTGAAAATTCTCATCTTCTTCATAACAAAATGAACCGGCGGATAAAAACATATACCCCAAATTATTTCAAAAATAGAACCGAACAGTTAAGATACCAAATAAAAGGATCTATGGAGAAATGATCAAAACTCGATAAAACTCAGATCTAGATCAATCGAAACGAGCTCAGAAATGAAAGATCTAGTAAAAAAACACATAATTGAATAACGAACAATCCAATCAGTTACATACACGCACATATAAATGAATCAAAATTCATTGAAACCAGTATTCAAAAACATGAAGTGGTTCATACCAGGGTGCGTAAAACTCGACCAAAGCGCCGCGATCTTGACCCACCTCTTTCTCGAAGTTGTCCTCAGTGAGTACTATGACATCGTCCGCAAAGGCCGACGCGAACAAGAACAACGCAAAGGTACCAAATGCAACGCAAAGCCACGATCTCGACATTTCCGTCAAAAGTTGTTCTTTCCTTTAGGTTGTTCAACCTTTCAATGGAAAAGCAGTGATGAAAGAGACTTGTGGATTAAAGGAGGTCTCCATATATTTAGGATATTTATAGCAGTCGTGGATTTTTTTCAAACTCATTTTTCTAAATTTAAGTAAATTTTTAATTTCTTTCAATCGAGTCACTAACTTCAATTTCATTTCAAATTGCATCGCTTAGAAT